GCACCAGCACAGTGCAATTTGTAGTCTCTAATCTTGCATCGGTCAAACATCAGGTCCTCCAGGTCATGGACGGTGTCGGTCTCCCGGAGACGTCGCTGAACTTCACCACGAACGAGATCTTCTCTCCTCTCCTTTTCTTCGACAGAAGAGGAGGAAGCCACCCTTTTCAATTTGTAATTATAATATTTTTTGTTTCATTTTAATTATAATATTTTTTTGTTTCATTTATTTTACTTTATTGTGAAAATGAGTTGGAAATAGTAGAAGATTAAAATATATTTTATTTATTATTTTTTAATTGCCATGCCCTGAGTTAACGGCCAACTTTGAGGGTTGACTGTCACATCAGACAAATTTAACGGAGTTTGATGGAGAGTGACCAAACTTGAACCATTTAACTAATTTGAGTGACCAAAATTAGATTTAAATATTTCCAGTGACCAAACATGAACCTCTTTTGTAATCTCAGTAACTAACCATGCAATGAGATATATTGCCAAGTGCCAACACATTATGTGTATAACTTGGGTTGTGCACCGAACCCAGGTCTACTTAACAATGGAGCAACAGAATGTATAGTCGAGCGACCGATTCATACGAAAGCATGCCTATAATTCAGGTATATATGATAAAGCCCTCCCTTCTCTGGAGGGGAAAAAAGCACCAGACTTCCTATATACAGTAAAGCCAATCCCTACTTCCTATGAAGCCTGCCATAAGGAAACATGAAGGAGCCCAGGATAATGAATATCAAGAATCCGCGAGGCACTCTCGCCAGACCCGACCCAGCCCGTTAAATTCATCAGTCTTCATTCCAGCTTTTGGTTAAGTCAAAATGGCTAAATTACACGTTTGGTCACTCAAATTACATAAATCTTTCACGTTTGCCACTCGAATCACTTTTCTTTCTTATTCATCAATAATTTTACAAATCGTTTCATCGTTAGTCATCGGCCATTAGTTTTCGTTAGATTTCGTTAACTCCGTAATTTTTTTGATGACGTGGCAAACGGAACTGCTGACTGGACAATAAATTTAATGACATGTTGAGTAAAAAAATTAAAAGTTAAAAAATTAAAAGATAACTGTACTCATCGCTCTCCGCCTCCGACATCCTCCCCGTGAGCCATGGCCGAGCCGTCCTGCTGGCGGTTGAAGTAGACCTCTTGATCTCTTTGACCGGAATCGACACACGGGATCGCCACTCGATGAAGAAAGATATGAGGCGGAGCTCAACACCTCTTGATCTCCTACAACAAATCTTCTAATCCCTTCACCACCCATATAAAGATGAAGCTTTAGGAGGGAGAAGGATGAGATAACCAAAAGTAGGATGTGGGGATTTCGAGGAGCGTCCCTTCCTTTTTTTTTTTTACAAAGGGCATAGAAATTTCATTACTTGTGGCAGAAGCCAACTGTTACAAGAGAGGAGCAATAACATCAAGTACATGAATCCATTCAGTAGGAAGATGTTTCTTCGCACATGATCTCGCCACCCAATTTGCTTTGGAGTTTCTTCTTCTGCTGATGAAGTCGAATCTGATGGTTGGGTGGTTGGATGAAAGGTTCTTGATGTGGTTGATCCAGCCTGCTTCTCGCCATGGCCAAATTTCATTTGGGTTAGCAAGGGCTTTAATGAGCGAGAGGCAATCAGTGAGGATCAGGCATGGTGCTGCAAGCGACACAGCCAGACGTGCTCCCTCCCAGAGGCCTTCGCTTCTGTTTCAAGTGGTGAAAAACAATGCAGAGACTCAGCTCTCCCATCACAAATCTGTCCATGGCTATTCGTCACAACGACGCCATAAGCCGCCTCCTGGGAATCACTGAAGTAGGATCCGTCACGGTGTATCTCAAAGTCATGAGTACTTGGCGGTGGAGAGGAGAGATCAAGGGGTGGAATGTGCTGAGCATGTAGGGGTAGAGCACCTTTCTTCCTGGGGCAGGTGTTCCATTGCTGATGAGCAATCTGGGCTCTGGAGGTGGTGATAGGGGGCCAAGGGATAATCCCTGAGAATATTCGGTCATTCCTGGTCTTCCAAGTCTGCCACATTTGGAAAATGACCCGCTGAATGGAGCACGCTGAGTGTCGAGACTGGAGGGAGACTAGCCATTCCAGAATGCTAGTGAGTGGAGGTGGGAAACACAGGCCAGGCCAGACACTATTCCATCCTGCCGCGGCATGGGGGCAAGTGAAAAGGCAGTGGTGGATAGAATCAGATGGAGAGTTGCACAGAGGACATGCCTTGGAGGGGGAGCACTTCCTCGCAAACAGGTTCTCCTTTGAGGCCAAAGCATTCTTTGCACATCTCCACACGAAGAATTTCATCTTTGGAGGGAGAGACAAGCTCCAAAGCCATTTCCATTTTTCCTTGGCTGCTTCTGGGAAAGGGTTCACATTTCCTTGGTGGCCACGGGTTTGGTTATGAAAGAGGTGAAAAGTTGATCTGACCGAGAAGCTACCTTGCTCAGAGAATCTCCATGCCAAAAAATCAGCCATGGACGCAGGTCGAATTGGTGTGGCAGCCGTGAGGAGAAGCTCTTGTGGATCAAGGAAGTGTTCCAGAAGGTCAAACTTCCATTCTCAAGAAACTGTATCAATGAAAGAGTCAGTTGATGATGGATCTGACAGTCTGTTGAGAATGAGGGGGCCTGGTCGATCAAAACGCCAAGGGTCCTGAAACATCTTTGTTGTTTCCCCGTTCCCAATGACTCTGATCACTCCCTGTTCCATCCAATTCTTTGCTTCCCACAAGCTTGCCCAGATCCAGGATGCTTTGCTTCCCTTCTTAGCTGAAAGAAAGTTCGTTCTTGTGAAGTAGATGCTTTTTAGCACTTTCACCCACAGTGCATCAGGGCAGGTGAGGATTCGCCATGCTTGTTTTGCAAGAAGGGTCATATTGAAGATGTGGAAGGGTCTGAACCCAAGCCCTCCTTCCTCCTTTGGAGCGTATAAAACGTGTCCAGCTCTCCAGTGTATAGATCGTTTAGTCATGTTAACTCCCCAAAAGAAGTTTTTGAGCATGGAATCCATTTTATTGGTGGTCGATCGTGGGAGGAGGAAGAGGCACATAATGAAGGAAGGTATTGCTTGGAAGACTGCCTTGAGAAGTGTTTCTTGACCTCCTGGTGAGAGAAGCAAACTCTTCCAAGATTCCCCTTTGATTTCCATTCTTTGAATGAGAAAATGGAATGTTTCTTTTTAAGATCTTCCCCATTCTGTTGGGACTCCGAGGTATTTTGAATGGCAGTTCGAAACCGCGAATCCCACCGTGTGAATGATCATATCTTTCTCATCATCTGGGACATTGTGGCTAAAGAAGATTGAGGACTTATCCCTGTTGACCTCCTGTCCTGTTATCGATCCATAGTCATTGAGAATACAAAGAATTTTCTCAGCTTCACTGGCTGAAGCTTCTCTAAAGATAACAGTGTCATCATCAAAAAGACAGTGTGTGAGAGTAGGACAGATCTGTTGATCTTCAAACCTCGAATGTCTCCTCTTTGGACAGCTTTTTCAATCAGGAATGAAAGAGCATTGGACATCAAGATAAAAAGGAGAGGGGATAGAGGGTCTCCTTGGCGGATGCCCCTAGAGGGAATGAACTCCTCTGAAGGTCTCCTGTTGAAGAGGATTTTGAACTTCACCGAGTCAATGCAGGTCCTGACCCATTCACACCAATTCTAACTGAAACCGTAGGCTTTCAATAGTTCAATTAGGAAGTCCCATTCCACTAAGTCATAGGCCTTTCTCATGTCGAGTTTCATCATCATATTCTTATGGTGTCCATATTTGTGTTTTTTGAAGTGGTTCAGAACTTCATGGACAATCACAATATTGTCTTGAATTTGTCTCCCCCTTGTAAAAGCTGATTGTAGTTCATTCACCAGATTTGGCAGGTGTGGCTGAAGTCTGTTTGACATAATCTTCGTGATTACCTTGTATCGGAAGTTACGGCAACTTATTGGCCTGAACTGTCCAATGGTCTCAGGGGGCTTCAACTTTAGGGATGAGGGTGATGTATGTATCATTCCAACTGGGTGGCATGATATTGGTGCTGAAGAAGTTGCTGATCTCATCACAGAACATGTCCCCAATAATGTGCCAATACTGCCGAAAGAAATGTCCTGGAAAGCCATCAGGCCCTGGTGCTTTGTTGGCGCCAAGTTGAAAAACCGCTTTTCGGATTTCTGCTTTCTCAATGTTGGCATTCAGAAGCAGGTTGTCTTCTTGGAAAACCAGAAATGGGAAATCGTTGAGAAGAGCAGAGTCAAATGTTCCTTCTCTGCTCATGAAAAGTTTGGTGTAGAAGCCGTTGACGTGCCCCTCAAGGTTCTGGTCGATATTCATCCAGTTTCCTGCTTCATCTTTAAGTTTCTAAATATGATTCCTGTTTGTCCTCTTAATCGTGCTAGCATGAAAGAAGCTTGTGTTTTGATCTCCTTCTTGGAGCCAACTGTTTCTGGACCTCTCTGACCAGAATTCTTCTTCCAATTTCCAGGTTGTGTCCAATTCTTGTAGCAAGGTCTTTTCTTCCTCAATCATCTCAGAGTTTCTCGTCGGACCTTTCAATTCTTGGAGTCTTCCTCTGATTTCCTTTTCTCTCTTGATTTTGTTCGCTCTATCCATTCTCGACCAGCTTTGGAGTTCTTCGCGACAGTTATTAAGAATCTCATGTACTCTGCCCCCTCTCCTCCAAAGATTATCGATAACCTGAGTGTATTCCCCATTCTCCCTCCATCTCTTATCGAAACGGAAAGGGGTATCCCTATCTTGCAGTTTAGGGTGCAAATCGATTCTGAGCGGGCAATGATCTGATTCAACAAAATCTTCGTGGAACACAGTAGCTGCTCCGAATTTGAGTCTCACGGAGCAGAGCAGAGACCCTTGTCAAGTCTTTCTCTGATCAGATCCGGCCCCTGTTGATTATTGGACCAAGTAAAAACTTGTCCGGAGAAACCAAGATCAAACAGAGCATTCTGCGAGATGAAGTACTTCAAGGGATCAACGTTTTCATTTCTTAGGGGGCACCTCCCCTGTTTTTCAAAAGGGTACAGGGCGACATTCAGGTCACCGACAATCAGCCAACTAACATCTTGAGAGTCTCTTATGATCGTAAGTCGATCCCAGAGGGCTCTCCTCTCCACCGCCGTGGTGGGAGCATGGACAAAAGTACAGTAAAATTTCTCCCCTTCCCTACTAATACATACATCCATAAAGGATTTACACGCATTGATAACTCGGACATCCATGTCCTCCTTCCACCACAAGGCAAGTCCACTACCTTCAAACGCAGGGCTAACATACTTGGAGTGATCGAACTTCATTACTCTTCTTTTTTCCTCCATGAAAGAGTCATCCTTCCTGGTTTCCATAAGAAAGAGTAATGAAGGGCCAAACTGCCCGCAGAGCCTGCCGCAGTAGTTTCGTGTAAGGGATTGGCCGAATCCCCTACAGTTCCAGCTGATAATCCTCATTCATGGTTTGGCGGCTCAAGGCTTGCCACCGCTGCCCTCGGAGAGATCGATTCACCTTCCTCGGATTGATTTCCTTCCGCTGTCAGTTCAGCAATGCTTCTCCTCCTTGTGATATGTTTCCTCCTCTGGTAAGTCTTCCTGTTCTCACCTGGAACAAAAGCCAAAGAATCAAAAGAGATGTTAGCCGAGTTCTCCAACTGCGGAATGGGGCAGCTTGGACCGACTCTGTGCTCCGGTTTCCATTTCTTTTCACGCCTAGGCCTGGTCTCTTCCTCCCCAGTTGCTATTTCTTTTTCTGAGTTTGTGATGGGGGCCTGGTCTTGTGGTATTAGGATCGGGCCTGTTGTTGCCTTCCCTGGTGTTGACATGCTGCTTGCCTCAAGAGAATAAAATGGGCTCGTCAAAGAAAGGGTTCGGCCCATCTCGAAGAGGCCTGCTGCCTTTTCCCTGTTTCTTCCTCCTTCTCCTAGGTCGAGAGACCTTTGCATCGCCCTAGTTGTTGCTTCCATTTCCCTTTCCAGAAAGGTAGGTTGAAAGGTAGTGGTAGGTAGTATGACTTCTCCTCTCTGTGTCCACTTCGTGCCTGTCCCTGTCAGTGGCAGAGCCATTGCAGTGAATCCCGGTGGGCTCGAGGAGGAGCTTTGTCCGGTTTGGCCTGCAAAGTGCAGTAGGGATGTGTCGCCTCGAGATCCGCGAATCAGGCCTGTGGGGTGTCCAGTTAGGGTTGGTCGCTGAGATCTTGCCATCTTCTCCCGGAACGACGCCGGTGGCGTGTTCGCCGGTGAGTCATGGCCGACTTCCAGTGTTGTAGTATATAATTCCGATGGGTCGATGCTTAAGCCTCTCCTCATGTGGTCCTCCCTATCGAGACAATTATGGATCAAGTGCCCCAGTCTCCCGCAAAAATAACAGAGGTCCATAATCCTCTCGTATTTGAAGCTGACCCAAATGGATTTCTCCCCTAGTGGATACTCAAAGCCAATTGGTATGGGTTGGTCCAGTTGGACCTCCACCTTTGCTCTGATAAATTTGAGCCATCCTCTGAAGTCAAAATTGGACTGGTCTATGCAATGGAAGTGGGGAAAGATGTACTCCGCTAGGGCTTGAATTGCTTCTTCGTCTTTGAGGGACTGAGGAAGGTCGTGCATTTGAACCCAGAGTGTTACTGTTGTGATGTCATCAGCTTCCGCCTTTTGTTCGCCATCCCATTTTTTCAGTGCTATGAGGGTGTTGCTGAGGTTCCATGGCCTGGCATCCCAGACTACATATCGTTGCTGTTGGGATCGGAAGGTGTAGACGAATAAATTCTCTGCTTCCTTGGTTGTTTGGACATCCCCATAGGCTCTCCATTTGCTGCTGCATTCTTTGCTTTGTGTAGGTTGATGCTCGTGTCTGTAACCCATTTGCCCAGAAGCATGGTCATTCCACTTCCTCTAGCCCTACAATTGTTGGCCTCACTTTCAGGACCAGGTGGCTTCTTTCTCCTCTCACAGTCATTGAGTTGTTCTCCATTTTGGTGGACGCAGATAGAGATCGTAGGCTTTTTTGGTGGTGGATATCTTCTTTGAAAGATTTGCGAGGCAGGCTTGGAATTTCTCCTTTATATAGGCCAGGCTTCCCTCCTGCTTGATAACCACTCTCTTCCTCATGGCATTGAATGCTATATTTCTTATTTCGCCGTCCCTGCCGCATCCTTCCTCCTTTGTACTAGTCAGTCTTCCTCTTAATTGCCATTTGTGAACTCTGACTAGCGGTACATTTATTCCCTCGCAGTCTGCCGTGAAGCTTTTTAGTTGTTGCAGTGTAGATTGTTCCTTGTGTGCCTCACCAGTGCATTTATATCTTCCCCTGGGTGAAATCGGCAGACTGGGTGTGTTATTAATGGAAATTATTGCTGGGTGGATCTTCCAGGTAGCAGTCTCAGGTGCTCGTTTCTTGCTTTTCTTGTGGATATCTACTGCAAAAAGGATTTGGTGTTGATCGCCTTCAATACCCTTCGTGTCACCTGTCTTCCCCTCTTTACTACCTACTGGCACAGCTTTGGCGTTTCTCCTTCCTCTGCTTTCGCTGATTGGCTGTTTTTTCTCTGGTGGTTTGGGCGGCGGAGTTAAGAACTCAGGTTGAGCTAGCTTCCCCTTGACCTTTTCCTCACTGGCTTGTCGATCGGTTGTGAGGACTGGTTCATCATAACTGTAGATCTATACATTAATTTCTCGGATATCTTCCTTGAGCACCTGGTTTAACTTGCAGGTCAGAAGCTTGATTTGATTGATGGTACAAGGGCAGAAGATGAGAAGGTCCTCAGGTGAGGCACATTGAAAGCTACATTAATGACAGCTGTAGAAGACCAGAAAAGGAAGTTTTCCGTCGGTGTATTGAGACAAAGCATTTGGAAGTTCCCAGTTGGGGGAAAAGAAAATTAAAACCTCTCTCTCTCTCTCTCTCTCTCTCTCTCTCTCTCTCTCTCCCTCCCTCCCTCCCTCCCTCCTCTCTCTCTCTCTCTCTCCCTCCCTCCCTCCCTCCCTCCCTCCCTCCCTCTCTCTCTCTCTCGATCTCTCTCGATCTCGATCTCGATCTCGATAGCCTGTCTTTGATGTGTGGTTTGCTGAACTATGTGCTTTAGTTTGGGGTTTCTGCAGTTAGCTACTTCTTTTCAATATTATGGTAAATTATTTTGATAGTGTGTTGTGATTTGGCATTGATACACTCCTCCCTTACCCAAATACTACGAATGGGGCTAAGTGGATTTGCATCAAAACAGTGCCTCCGTCCCTTGTTGTTGGTGTAACGGAAAAGGAAGAGCGGCATGAAAAAACAGAGGATAGTGCGTAACCAGAAAGCGAAGGAAAAGGGGAAACAGGCGAAACCGAAAACCAATTCAATGGGAGAGAAGAGGGAGAGAGATTTGATTTGGAGTTGGGTTTTGCCTTTAAAAAATGGATTCCAAGATTATCATATGAATTAAGCCTCTGTGTAGTCGACTCTATCTAGAAAGATCATGCAAGCAATCAAGATCAAAATCCCCCCAGGCTGAGTTTGGTGAGCTTTTCAGCTTTTCCTTTCTCTCGCTGCAGAATTTTCAAACATACCGAGTTGCTGACAATATCACCGATGCGGCGGTGGTCCTCCGACATCACGCACTTCCTCCACGTCTTGAGCTCCGCCTCCATCTCTTTCTTCACCAAGCGGCGCTCCGGCGTGTCGATCCGTAGGCGGAGAGTGATGGGTATTAATTATTTTTTCTTTTTTGCCGCGTCATCAAAAACTGACGGAGTTAACGGAATCTAACGGAGACTAACAGCCGGTCTAACGGTGAAACGATTTGTAAAGTTAGTGGCGAATAAGAAAGAAAAATAATTTGGGTGGCAAAAGTGACAGATTTATACAATTTGAGTGACCAAACGTGTAATTTAGCCAAGTCAAAATAGAAAGGGTAATTGCAGAGACCATACCAAGCTGCCAGCTAGTCCTGTGTTCACATAAATATCAGAAATTAACCCTTTGGAACCTGCTTGAAATAGGGATGATCCACTGCTTCATCCACACTCAATCGGTCATCCTGCAACGAAACAAGGCAAACACACAGAACCAATCACAGATTCATATCGAGAAGATGAAGCATTCATCCAACTAGCAAGGAACCAAAAATCCCATACAACAACCAAAACATTGAATTGGTTCTAGATTTGGTTCGTCCTCCATTAACAACGTGGATGGATACACTCAAGGAAATTAAAGCTGTTTCTTTTATCCTGCCTTTCCATCTTTTAAACTGCACTATGTAATGCGTGACATTAAGTCGAGAAATGCAAATTCATCCACCTACCACCTACAAGTTTGAGAGTTGCGAATTGTATATTATAGAAGCTTCCAGGACAAATCCCCCCCCCCCCCCCCCCCCCCCCCTACTTACAGGATCCCAGAGAAGAAGCCGACGCACTAATCTCAAAGCCCAAACGTCTGGGAACCTGCAGTGGAATGTTGGCGCACAAGTTCAGGAAATGAACAAGTCACAACAAAAAGAGAAGATCACAAGATACTCTTCACTAACCCAGTCTTCAGAGGATCCCTGCTTTTGATCTGCTGGGAAAAGAATTCCTCAGAACACTTCCATGAAGCAGGTGAATCTCGAAGCTGCATTTGGACACCACAAGATAAAAAAGAAGCGTGACCATCTCAGTCAATCAAATTTGAAAGTTCAGAGTGAACTCATGATAAATCCCAAGTTACTTGAGAATCCGATTCAGAAACATTTTCGGAAAAAATGAAGACTCATGCAAAGCAGAATAGCTAAAATTGAGAAAGCTTGCATCGCACGAGAAACGTCTGAGGAGCAACAGTTGTACTTAAATTCATCTGCCAAGGTCCATACAATAGGCATATTCGATGAACTCTTGGGAGAGTAGAAATGAGAGATCCTTGTATCACCAACTGACCTTAGTTAACCGTTTGTGTTCATTGTTTACAACTTACTCTTCCCTTCTATTATCTTTCCACATTTGAATGCCCACATCAAATATACAGCATGGCACACTTAGCCTCTGTTCTTGAGGAGGTGAAAGTTCCAATTTTTGCCTATTCAGGACATTTGCAACAAACCAGGTGAAGACTAGGTGAAAGTTCACTATTCAACTAGGCACCTTCAAATTGGGGTGAAATCCTTCCTCTCTTCTTTCTTTTTTATTTTATTTTCTTGCTTCCTTTTCTTGCAAAGTAATCACCCTCCAAATTTTCATCTTTAATCTTCAAGAACATGGTTAGAAACTCATTAGGCATTCAATGAAGACTGAAAAGACTTATATGGCCATCCACATTGAACACCGAAGTTCGAATCCATACACTTGGAAATCAACTTAATAGTAATAAAGTGATCATCAAAAGATGTCACCTTAGGCGCACAACCAGAAATACACTTTGGTAGAGATGATCTGAAGAATTTTATTTTTAAAATGAAAACAGAAAACTCACTTGCCCCCTAGTCTGACGATGATTTGAGGAACTCCCTGGGATTAAGATGCATAGCTCCATGAATGACCTAAGTCTGGCACCACCAAACAAAAGGCTCGAGTCATCAACTGTACACAAACAACCATGAAGAGATGCAGATCTTAAAACTCACGAAGGTCCTTCACGAAGCATTAAAGTTTTCGTGTACAAAAAAAAAGATTGATGATAGTGAGAACATCATAAACTTACATCATGCAGAATCTAACGTTCACTTTTTTCTTTTTGCTCATACAACAGTGCACTATCAATGAACGAGTGACATGCCAATTTGGATTTGTCGACGAAAAGAAATACATATGCTATAGTAGCCAGTTAATGGCACAAACAGCCTCATCATTCCATACTTTCATCTTCTCCTTCATTCCCAAAACATCCCACTAACTCAAGTATGAAACATGAGCTATTAAACAGCTCAGCTTCATTTTTATTTAATTTCTATGTCTATGTGATTCCGCTTCTTTCAGTCTGCCAAAATGCAAGTGTCTTCCGAAGCATGTGTGTATTATGCAATTATGTTCAAAATTACTAAATTGATGGTTATGAAGAAAATTGCATAGCATGCCCCTAAAAGAGTGGGGATATGCTGTATCTTCTGAAGAATACTTAAGGTTGATCTTCTTGAGATTACAGTTTGACTTCACAAACCATCCACAAGTCAGAGTAAACCATCATATGTTTACTAATTTTCACCAAGACCGCATGCACGATTGTCAAGCGTGCACCATAATAAGGAGCATAAGGATCACCCGGGATAGAAGATGAAAGCTTCACTCCCTGAAGTACGAATATATTGCAAATCTGAAAAAACTCAAATTTAACTCCCTGTACTATATTTATAATGAATTGAAAAAACTCAAATTCCCTGAACAAAGGGAATATAAGGACACCATACATGATGAATCATGAGAAAATAGCACTTACTTGTATGCAAGCTCCTTCAGGTCTTCATTCCAACCCTGAATATGAGGATCTAGAAGAGCTTGTGTTTTGGGGCTTATCTGAAAGACACTTGGTGAGCCCAAAATCAACTCTAGAATTACAACACCAACACTCCACATATCATACCTGCAAAATTATATATCCAAGCTTAGGTGACCATTCAGCCAGTCAAGTGGTATACAACACAAAGCATAACCTAACTCCATGTAGCAAGAAGCTAACATTCTATACAGTTGAAACATCACATACTTCAATCTTCTGCTTGACGGTTCCTGATGCCAACTAGCATTAAGAAAAGCTTCGGGAGGACTGTACTCAAAAGTTTGTTCAGCCCTATTGACACAAAAGGGAAATCAACAATACATTTAAAGTACTGGAGCAAAAGTCTGTCACAGGGAAGGGAGTTACCTGCTAGGTCCACTTGATCCATACAAGTGCTTCATGGTAAAATCATCTACTGCACTGCCGAAGTCAATAATGCGCCTACAGAATGACAATAGAAAGATCAACAAATTGTTTGTCAGCATAATTAGGGCCAACAGGTTGGTTTCTTTCTCCGAGACTGCATATTAACACGCTATTTTGATGACCAGAAGCTTAAAATGTGTAGGAAAACTTGAGCAAATATCATCAGCAAAAAAGAGGGTGCTTTGGTATCATTAATGATACATTTTAATGGTGTAGTTCCTATCCCCACTCGGAACTCCTTTCAAGCATCTGCCAGTCTCTGCATCTTCAAAGCAGACCACCATGTTCTCTATCAATAGAAAGGAGTGAAGGAACATAAAGTAAGCTGGATCCCAACTCTATTCCATGACTCAAAAAGAAGCACATCCAATTAACATCACAGAAACACTCTTAAGAATTTATACAACACCCACAAATCTTCTGACACAGTTCCAAGTTATAACCATGAATTAAGCACAACTGAAATGCAAATCGAGGGGATGGACAATACAGGAGTAACATTGATATTTTTCAGCATCCCATTCAAAGTTATCAAAAGCTGTAACTACAACACTTGGGGGAAATATTAAAAACTCGCAAATTATGATAGCATAAAACTATGCTTACCAGGTTTAATATCCCTGTGGGTAACATTACGGCTGTGACAGGCCTTCAGTGCCATCAACTGAGTAATATAGAAGTTCTTATTAGCTCTCAGTCCAACAAACAGGAAGCAGTCAAGCAAATAAATAAAAATAACAAAATGGCAGGCATCTGGCATGCTGGCAAACAAAAATGCTAGAAGAATCAAGACAACTTTGTATAAGAAATAGCAAGTAGGTTGAGTTAGCCTTGAAGATCAGAAACATATGATTGGTTGTCCACGGAAAGCTCCTTTGAAATTCATATGAAGAAAAACAGCATAATGGAAGAGTGCCTTAATCTTGCTAAAAAGAACACATCACAAACTTCAATTGCGTGAACCGAATGTCCAAACGCATATCAGATGCGTGAACCGAATGTCCAAACGCATATCAGATATCCTGACGTGAGAAAACTTGTATTTTCCTGGTCAGTTAAAGTATATGATAACACCCACACATCCAAGTCTACCAAAAGACCTTTGACATAAGAGTCAAGTACGAGACCAGTAAAATAAATCTACAAGGAAATTGTATCAACAAGTAACAGTTGGAAAACAAATACCAGTTGGTGAATAACAATACGCATCTCTTGCTTTCCTGCTTCTGTCGTTTTCAACCAGCGCCACCATTTAGATGGACGCAAAATTTGAACAAGCTTAGCTGTTTCAAGCTTTTCTTCCCCAGCATTATCAATTACATCCTCCACAGTATAAATAAGCTTTGACAAAGAAACACCTTCGTGTCGGAATACAAGCCACATTTCATTGGACTTAGACTCAAAGGATTCTATGTATCTTGCTATATGGTTCAAGCCTTCTTCAAAAACAGGTGTCTGGAACATAAACCTATTAGGGAATATATTATCCTCAACCCATTTATTTCCTAACCCATACTTGCTCATTTTGGATAGCTCATCAAAATCTGATTCAAAATCCTCAGAAAAGGATGATTCATATTCATCTGATAATCCCTGTATATTCTTAGAGGCATTTAAGAACATTTCTCCAAAATATTTCTCCCGTAGACCGCTCAAGTAAACAGCTGGTCCTCTCTCCACCTGTTCAGAACAGTGAACTAAATTTCAGAGACGTAACAAAATGTTGACTCAACCAAAGGGATTGCTTAGAAGTCGACATATATAGGAAGAATAATGCACAACAACACTAGGTTAACAATAACACGTGAAAACTGTCACGTTAAACAAGACACAAAACATTTGAAGAAAGCCCAAGCAAACAATGATTTACCATAATGCGTTTGAGAATGAACAAGTCATCATCAAAGGAGCCAGCAGATTGACCATGATTAGAGCTGCAAGAACTGTTCATACTTGAATTGGAACACCTAGCTTCAAATGAGATATTCTCATTCTTAAAAGTAGAATTTGAAACATTAGTGTCTTGATGGCAGTTCCAATGAAAAGCGAGCCATACTTCGCCGTATGATCCACGACCATATCTTTTCTTTAGCACGTACCTAACAACAAAGAAGCACATGGCTATCAAAGCATTTCATGAAAAAACATAACTTTTCAAATGTCAGCTATCAATAAATCAACACCGTAAGCTGTTGCATGCTTCCTATTTAAGTCACCACACTGAACAACAAGGTCCTGCAGAAACTTTACTTGCTTTGTACATCAATTTTTCATAATAAGGACTCTCAGTTGATCCAGAATACAGAATGCATACCTCAAACACCTTCACGACTTAGTCCATACAGTACTCGAGTGTCTAATCAGAGGGAGTCGGGAACTTGTCTACATACCTAGCTAGTCTAAAACATTTTCTTAACAATATAGTTTATAATGTCAGGTGTGGCTGAACTATTTGTTGCTCATCTTCCAACATAACGATTTTGATTTCTTTATCCAACTTCCAATCTGTACAGAACAGTGCAGGTTTCCAGTATGCCAGCAGAATCAGACAACAGACAGAAAGAGAACCATACTAAATACGGAAACAGATATGTACCTCAAGTCAGGCATCGCTTCTTCAGTTGATCCATAACTTGAAGCAGTATCAAGGAAAGGAATAGATTCAAGTAAACCAAGGAAACTACCAAAGGCCTCGGAATTAGGGCATTGACCTTCAAAACCATCATCGGCTGCACCTTGAAAGCACAAGTGCTGATCAAAGTACAGATTGAGTAACCCATCTGAAAAGAAATTTAAGTACTTAAAATTTTGAAAGATCAATATCTTACCACGTGCACAAACACAAGACCAAACCCCCACAAGCAAGCAACCTTATAATTGGGTCAAAATGACAGGTCTAGGAGTTAGATACAAGCATTAGATTGGTGAAGGGAGACCTTGGGGAAACTTTTACTAAGGATTTCTAGAATCTCCCAGCTATATAACCTAAGATTTATCTAACTCATGTCCTTACCCTTTACCACTCAGTCCCAGCAAAAGAAATAGGTATAGCCTTTCTTACCATTATGATGATCCAGTGCTTCAGGTAGAGCTTGAGGTAGGCCACTTTTGTAATGTTTTGAGACAGTACGTTGAGCTTTCCATGTATCCATGATATTGTTCAAACTCTCATCCAAATAATAACAACCAAGATTCCCATATTTAGCTTCAACCTGAGGAAGAGCTAGAAACATCAACCATGGAACCCACACCGCATCAGAAATCAAAATCACATTGGTGTTTGCTACGCATAATGGCATTAGGAACATATAGGATATAGCAATTTCATGACACAATCCGTCAAACAGATTGGCATAAGGAATCAGTCAAGTTCAGCATGGGTGTAAAGAAATGTTCTTCAAAGGGGCAGGCATCCTAGTTGTCAGTTAGAACAGGCGACAAGAGCGAACTATCTAATGCAAAAGAAATTAACAGTACAGGCAACAAACACTTCAAGAACCCAATATCATAGGATAGTTAACCTCACCAATAACCTGCTGAACTCTGTGATAAGTGGAAGCCTGTGCTCCAAGTGTGCCAACTTGGAAGTGAAGTCATCGGCTGTCAAAGGAAAAATGAAACTTACAACAAATATTTGGACTAGTTCAGAGCAGTAATAAAATCAGGAGGACCAGCATTAAATTCGCCAAGAACAGCATCATTTATACAACAGCCTCTATGATTCAAATGTATAGCAATCAATGCATCATACAAAGTCCAACATCATCTTCATATACCATTTACAGCCATTTAGGACTACGTGAAGATGTCTGCATACAGTTAACAAGGCAATAAAAGCACATCATAGAAATTCTACGAAATAGAAAGACTCAAAACGTCAATTGTACTTGTCAATACCAACAAGCAAGCAAACTCTAAAAATAATAAAAAGTGGTACCAATAAGAAAATGGTGCTTGTTGCTTGCATATGCAGGCCGTTATACCAAGTGAATACACAAAATGACATCATGTAAATCTTGCTTAAGTAGCCATGAGTGAAACTGTGAATGTAATTCCACCCCATCCAATGACATGCAGTTTACACCAGTAAGTTCTACATCGGACAAGGCCAGCATATTAAGGCAAGGAAATAGACTATCACTTCTCTAACAATAGACATAACAGGACTGGAATCGAAATTACATGCATCTGTAGGAGGCCTATAAGCAAAGATATATACCTGATTCTTCATACATAAAGTTTGTTACTCTCGTTGTTGAACAATCTATGTCTTCTTCCTCAACACACCTCTCTCTCAGCAATGTTTTAGAAACTACACTTGGTCCTAATGGAACCACCACGGCTGCTATGTTATCCATACTTCCCTCAACAAATGCTGCCTCAACCAAACACTCAGCTAAGGAATATGAGTGAGAAGAAGACAACCCCAGTTTTCTAGTCCCGCAGTTTTTGGAATCCCACAATATATCACAGACATCTTGAAATCCCAACTTCTCAAACACGCCATCAGATGCAACCACGAGATAGTTATCACTAGCGGTGAGAGGTTGCCAATTCGTCACTTCAGGCACAGATATCACACCATAACTGACAACAGCAAAAAAACAGCAAGAAAAAGGAGAAGCTTTATACCAGTGATATTACACAGAATCATAACAGTTACGTTGGATGGACAAATAAACACATATTCACCAACCAACCTCTTGAGCTGAATATCGCCAATAGCTCGTGAAATAGCCAGCTCACCGTTTATCCGATGCACACCACTTGTCTCAAGTATGTATCCACCAGCAGCTTCCACTCTAATCTTTTCATCCTCTCTATCAGGATGATGATCTCTAGTTAATTCCTTAAAGAGAAACCGTTTCCCTCCACTGGATACAGCTGATCTGATGCTTCTATAATTTCTTGCATGTGAAACTGCTCCATTATGAATCTGCTCCCTGTACGACTTTAACAAAGCAGCTGCAGTTAAAGAGCATAAGAATATTAATCATTGTGTATATAACCAAAAGAAAGAATTCACATAAGGGAAGTATCAAAAGCATATGACACTCAAAAACCGATCAAACAATATATACCTCCGCGCTAATCCACTTAGCCTAACAAAACTATGTCAGACTGTTATTTGTCACATATCAAAACATGTTTCTTACCTTTTGCCTCTTCAGGAGATTGAAACTTTTCAGAGCACAAAATAGCCTTTGAATCTCCAAGATTGGCAACTAATATATGACCCTCTGCAAGCAATACAACAGCAGCTGTGGAGCCTGATTTAACATTTTTCCTGGATGCTTCCTTCATCATAATTGAGGGAATCCTGAACTGTCAGTATATCAAAAGAGGGGTACTACGAAAAATGGACCAAAATGCAGAACAAGTCAAACAAACAAATGACAAACTTGCCTTGGAGAATGTGGTATCAATATCATGGATTGCCCTCAACAATGCTTCCTTCAAAATTTCTAAATGAAAAGATTCATCGAAACTGTCTGGCAAAGAGAATTTAAACCTGAAGCAGAATACAACTTTTGCTTATGCATATCAAGAAGAAAACAGTGGGTGGCCAAGACCACAAGATAGCATATCCAACAGCTCTGTGTCCACATGTATCTGCGCCTTTGTCTATGTTTCTTGTTTATTCTACCATTCCTATTCACTTATCAATTGCATAGCATAGTTCACTCAAATGGAAGCATGCAATTGAAACCAAGCTATGGAATCTCGTTTATAAAAAACAAAAAAGCATATACAAGTTGAGAGCACCTGTCGATTTTGAAATCAGCTCTACCAAGTTCTTCTTTTGAACTCGACAGCTGAAAAGTGGCATCCTTCTCTTTCTCGCTCGGTAGGCTTCCAGTCGATCTCTTGAATGCTAACGAATATGTTGCATCTAAAAGGAAGTAAGTATGCAGTGCAAAGTACTCAAGCACGAGCTTTGAAGCCATTTCGCTCGCCTCCGCACCATTATGACCATCAAACACCGCTACCATGTCAACCCTCACCTCTTTAAGTCCTATTTTACCTGATCCGGAGTAAGAATTCAGAATGTAAGAGGAGACGTATCATACCACAAAGCCTTCTATTCATTTGGCACCAACAATAGTCACATGCTAGCGTAAAACGTAACATTTGCCGTTCATACTCTAATTTCGCAGCAGCAATCCAATTATAATAGAGAGCTGAAACATAAAAACATACCAGGTAAAGGAATGCGAAGATCATGAGCACATAGGATTCTGTCCTCCTGAGACTTTCTTCGACCTCGAAGCATCGCCCATTGGCAACGGCCGGAGGTAGGGGTGGTGCTGTCCGCTTGGGACTGGTAATTGGAAAGGCTCCAGCGGGGACATTTCGGAGATTTAAACACCGCCGGAGCTCCGCCTTCATTGTATACTGCCAAACAGGTGGACGACTCTCCTCCAAAGCAGCTCCGGACGAACACTGCTAAAGCGAAGCATAAAAGAAGGGAAATGGAATTCGATTGCTGCAGGATCATGAGTTTGCAAATTTGGGCGACTGATTCTCATCAAAATCCCCGATACGCCAGTGGCAGAAGAGGGTGAAAAGCAACGTAGTATTGTGCTGGCGCGGCCTTGCTTCGACACTCGCACTGCAAAGGAAACGAGCTTTGAATTGCAACAAGGTGTGGTTCATTTCGACTCGTTGAAATAGATGTTTACAAATCTATGGATAAATGACACAAATATTATTGTTTTTTAAATTTTTACCACCAATATGGTGGATTAACAAGTATTAACACAAATATTGTGTTTTTGTGTAGAGTTATAGGCGGGGACGCTGGAGACTAAGGTGAGGCCGCGTTATGAAAAAATTTTAACCTGTCTGAGGCATTGGCGTCTTAGTCTCCAACGCCCCCGCCTTCAACTCTCTAAACTATTTTAAAAGCGTCGCGGGCCCTATTTTCTTATCATCATCTTCTTCTTCCTCCCCCCCCCCCACACACACACTCCTCCCGAACTAGAGCTCCGCCAAGCATCAGTCCCAGACGTCGCCGCCGCTGCTGACCCAGGCGTCATCGCCGCAGAGACAGGAGCCGTCGCCGCATCTGACTGAAGCGCCACCGCCTCAGATATGTCGTCCGACGAAGAAGAAGCTGTCGCCGGTAGAGGCAGGGGGAGAGGCCTGTGAGGTCGTGGAGGTGGCGGCGGTTTTCGCGGTGAGGGTCTCGCCGTCGACAATTTTTTATTTTTTTTTTAATTAATGTTTTTGTTTCTTTGCTTTTGCAGTTCCTAGGCTTATGGACCCTTATTCGATGAGACTACCGCCGGCGACAATTGATCCAACTCCGGTCGATCCGGTACTTCTTTGGGGACATGGCCAACATCGTATCGACTCAGTTTGGGCAAACGATGTAAGTATTTGATAATTATTCATGTAAAGTTAATTAGCTAATTAGATTATTTTAGTTGGTGAACTGAACTGTACTGAAATTAGAATAGGATTACATATCAAATTTTTTGAAATTAGTATAATTTGAGATTAGATTAGATAGATTAGAATTTACTAGGTGAAAATTAGAATTATTACGAATGAAATTGAATTAATATAAGTTTTGTGCACTATATAGGCTGGTGATCGATCTTACCATATTCGAGGTACGACCAATTTAGTGACGTACCATGAGCTTTATCGGCCATATCTCGAAGCGGCTGGCTTGTTTAGTGTCGTGCCCCTGGTCCCTTTGAACTCCGACGCGAGTTTGATTACTGCGCTCGTAGAGCGGTGGCGACCCGAGACGTCGACCTTCCATATATCGTTTGGTGAGGTCACGATCACGTTAGAGGACGTTGTTACACTGTCCGGTCTGCGGGATCGACGGGATGCCGTCGTAGTTGATATACCGGATGAGGAGTGGTCGACGATCTGTTTGAGACTGTTAGGATGGGTTCCGGCTGATCTGTCAGGCGGTGTCGGTGTCGTTGGGACTGTTTGGCTGAGGGATGAATTCAGTCATCTGCCGGGAAATGCATCACAGGAGGTTATAGAGCAGTTTGCACGAGCTTATGCTCTATCTCTGATGGGAGGTGTACTGTTCTCGGATCGTTCTGGAGCTACGGTGCACCTACAATACCTACTTCTGATTGAGGATTGGCAGAGAGTTGGACGGTATGCCTGGGGAGCTGTTGTTTTATCCTACCTGTACCGTGAGATGGGTAGGTCGGCTTTGCACATTACGCATTCCGACACTTCTCTAGGCGGTGACCTTGGTGGATGGGTCGCCCTACTGCAGCTCTGGGCATGGGAGCGATTCCCACATCTGGCACCGCGACATTCAGAGACGAGGGCGCAGAATTCCGAGGATGCATCCTCACGTGGTCTTCGATGGCTTCCAGCCAACACTCGTCAGTATGGTGACCAGCTATTCCAGTACAAGTTGTGGTTTGACGCGATGGACACCGTGGTGGTTAGTATATAACATTCCATTTTATAGAATAGTTTTCATACTACTTGTTTTAGATTTAGGGATAATAACGTTAATATTTTTTTGTGTAGTGGCAACCTTACGTTGAGAGAGCACTTCATCTCAGAGGTAGTGTGATACAGTCTGAGACGTTTCGAGTAGTAGTGCCACTTATCTGCTTTTCATCGGTGATGTGGCACCATCCAGATCACGTGCTCCGGCAGTTTGGCATGAGGCAGCATGAGCCTCATCCACCACATCCTGAGGCTGAGGTTAGGTTTTTTCTTCGTCAGACTACTCGTGGGCCATCGCATGGGCAGCCGTTGGTACACGCCTCCAGAGAGTCGCTTGCTTTCTGGAACCGTCGACACGAGTTCATAGCGACAGCTCCATACACTGATGAGGAGTTAGCCTACCACTCGGAGCATATGGAGTGGTATAAAGATGTCACCAGGCGTTCCGGCACACGGAGAGGAGCTGCAGCGGAGGCATTGGTTAGTTATTTGATTTATTTGCTTAATATTTTTTTGTATTTGTCTTGAATTTGTTAATTGTGTGAAATATCTGACATTTTTTTGTGTTTTTTAGTACGACACTTTCGAGCATGCTGAGGTGAGTTTGCGTGACGGTGTACGGACTGGAGGGTTGACCCCCGACCAGTTTGAGGACTTGGCCAACATTATGGCATCCGGGGTTACTACTCTAGGTTTGGAGCGGCGCAGACACCCTGATCTCACAGTACCTGTACAGCCCCAGTATGATCAGCCCGTCATGACTGCATGGCCAGAGCATATTGATCCAACACCGGGCTGGGTTGTCCCGGAGCCACAATTTAGACAGGAGCATAGGCCACGTAGACAGCGACGTGAGCATCGTGATGTACCTAACCCGGTCCGAATTTCAGATCGACAGCAAGCACAGCGCGTCCGGCCTACTACGAGGAGCTTCCAGTTTAATCCGCCTCGGTCGCAGTTTCAGTCAGATCCGTCTTCGAGCTTTCAGCCTCCGCCTCGGCATCAGTTTCAGTCAGATCTGTCTTCGAGCTTCTATCCACCAGAGGATAGCTTCCATACACCGCAGCATGCTACGATGGGAGGCGGAAACATGGCCTCAGGTGATGATACTAGAGCAGCCTCGTCTCCCAACCTGTGAGACGCTCTAGAGGGTGATGCGACCTTTCAAGATAGTTGCTACACACTTGGTGTGATGCACCCTCCCTTGGCCAATCCATCTCGTTGTGAATCCTTGTAACTCGTGGCCTCCCTGGCTTCCTAATCATGTGCACATTAGGATGGAGAATAGGACCATTATGCTTCTTCCAACCATTAGGTTCACCAAGAGGTGTGAAACTTGTCCTATAACAAGCCAGCACTATTTCCAGCTTGTAGACATCGTTTACAAACCTATACGAATTAGCCCACATTCGATTGCAAGATGCAATGGCATGAGAGCAAGGAATTTTATTTCCTTGAAATTTCCCATAGGTGCAAAATCCTGCCCGGTTGTGGTCGTCAAAGTGCACTCTGAGTGTGTTTGACCCCGTCATGTTGAAATCGTTGGGAGAAGTCTAAACTACATAGATGCCTTGACGTCGATCAAGAGCTGTCACGGAATGTCCAACTTCCTTTTGTGACCACAGCTTCATCAGCTCTTCGCACTTGGTGGAGTACTGTGAAGGAGCACTTCTAATTTCTGCTCCTGTCTCCAACCTGTACTTATCGAATTTCTCCACCAATCGCCAATAGGTATGTTGCACAAGAGAAGCTATAGGAAGTGCACGAATACATTTGAAAACACCATTGATGCTTTCTGCCCTGTTGGATGCCAGGATAGACCAACGACGCCCACCATTGTAGTTATCATGTGCTAAACTCCAACGAATCTGATGTTGGTCCACCCAGTTATCACATGAAATATTTCTATCAGTGGTCACCTTCTTAAATTGCTCAACTTGACGATCGAACTTCTCCAAGAGTTTTTCTCCGGCTAACAAAATAAACAACCACACGGGTTAGATAAATTCATGACAAAATTACATGAAAATAAATAACAAAATCAAATGAAGAAGGCTTACCGACTCGAAACAGTTGCTTATACATAATTCTGCTTTTAGTTTTCCTTTGCAAATTGCTTGCATAGTGTCGCATGCACCACCTCCACTCCCAACCTCTTCCGATGTTATTCATGGCTTCATAGAGTCTTGCATGTCTATCTGAGATGATGCAGACATCATTTCGATCAGTCAAACCCTGAACGTGACTTATGAACCATGGCCAACTATCAGTATTCTCGCTCTCCACTATGGAAATGCAATTGGAAAAATCTTCTTCCGGCTATCAAATGAGCTTGCCATGAGTAGCACTCCTTTATACTTCCCAGTAAGAAATATTTTATCAACAACTATGACGCCTGTACAATTCTTGAATCCATCTATACAAGGTCCATAAGCCTAGAATACTCGCTGAAATATCGAATGACCTGGTTGAGTCAAAGGAACTCTTACCCAATCAATCACCGATGTTGGCATTTTTCTCTTGATCACCCGCAAGAATGTTTGCAAAAAATCGTAGGATTCTTCCTAATTTCCATGCAACTTCTCCAATGCTCTTTGTTTCTCATACCAAGCCTTCTTGTAAGTAACTTGCATATTAAACTTATCTTTCAACTCGGGCTGCACAGTTAGAACTCTCAGATTTGGTTGGGCACGTACCAAATGTTTGCGGCCTCAGATATCATGTCGACATCAAGATGGCGATGATCCGTCGGTTGAGTCGTACTACTACAAGAATGCACCAACTCAGCCTTTCTCACAGCCCATTCGCCTCTAACATCTCGACATCCAACCCGCACCATCCAAGGACAATTGTCATCCTTGTGCCTCAAGCATCTGACCTTCCAGATTGAAGGTGACGACTTCACCATGCCATATTGAAAGTTGCCTTGTAGTGCGTGGTGTTTAATCGCCATCTGTGCAGCTTTTTTCGAGTGAAATATCAGCCTCTTATAGAATTCTCCTTCAAAACTAGCAACAATAGGCATTGGAATTACACCATATGAATAAGCAAGTGATAATT